TTGTTGGGGGCGATATGCTGACTCTGTAAACCGCTTAGAGAGGGCTGAAAGCCCTATGAAGCGGTATATAAGTCTAACTGCTATTGCTATTGTCCCATAGCGAGTTGTCCTGCGCAAGTTGTTTCGCAGTGAATTGGCCATGGCCAGTTGTCAATGGAGGTAGCCATGGCAAATTGTCACAGGCCCACCTAAAATATTCAGTTGGATTGTGATAACTTTTTCATGCTGAGAGGCAGGAATGGGTAGAAGGGAGAGGAAACAAGGCTAACAGTGTGTTAAAAAATGTAATACAGGCAGTTAAGACATTGTAAAATGACTTTTTGCATCTCCAAATTTTGGGTATCACCAACTAGAGGTTGAGGAGAAATGTAATACCATCCCAGAAATCCTAGAATGAACTCCTGAAAATAAAATAGAATAACTACAATCTAAAAATATTCTAATCATATGAAGAAGTTACATTACATAAAGTAGCCATGAAATAGCAGCAAACTCATTGCTAGATCAATGTCATATATTTGGATTTTTAATAATAGATATTTTTTAAAAAATATTGAAGAAAATTGCTGAAGCCAGTAAGAATAGATATCGAAAATGCTTGGGTCTAGAATGTATTGAAAGGGATGGAATAATTTCCTAATTGCCTTGGATTCTCAATTTCCTGTTTTGCTCAGGGTAAAAATAATTTTGAAGACAGATTCATTATGTTTATATTGCCAGATGAATCACATTTTTTGATAAAAGAGCCATTCCAGAATATTTTTTCTCCTCTTCATTTCTATCATCTCTTCATACTGGAACCTACTACAAGTTTGATGTGCATTCTCTAGCCAAACCTACTACTAATATGCTTTTGCACTGATTCCTGTGATATGCTTCAGCTTAGTCAAACATGCATGGAACAACCCGAATGTTCCATAGTAGATGATAAAGTAGCTACTATGCCTGACTGGATGTCAGATTAGAGCCAGGAAAACATGGGTTCAAATTCTCACTCCTCACTATAAAATGCAAGGGCTGCTTTGGAACAATTACTCAACCTTGCCTTTCCCTATGCAGGGCACTCTATAAACATCTGGATTGTAACTTCCAGAAGTGTCAGCAAAGGCCATACTGCGTGGAAAGTTTTGAAAATTACTCCACAGTTTAGAAGACGATCATGCTTGGGGAAGTTTGACCTAATGCAGAGGATATTGTGAGGGTAAAATGCTCTCGTTTCATGCAAATGAACTATTCTCTGCCCCTTCTTACTAGAATTTTAAATATTTGTGAGAAGGTCATTTAAATGAGCTGAGGTGGCGCAGTGGTTAGGGTGCAGGACTGCAGGCCACTTCAGCTGACTGTTATCTGCAGTTCAGCAGTTCTAATCTCACCGGCTCAAGGTTGACTCAGCCTTCCATCCTTCCGAGGTGGGNCCACCATGAAAGCTGGAACGCCCACTAGTGGGCGGTGGGGACCAGGTTGACTACCACTGCTGTAAAGCATGGTGCCATTTGTGTGTTATTGGAGATTTTTAGAAAAATGTATCTAGGGCCAAAAGAATATTCAAGACTGAATTCAAATTCTGTTTGTGTTAAATGTTTTAAATATATACATTGATTCATTGAAGCAGGCATGTTAAGAAGATGATCTGACAGCATAATTAATAAATAGGGGGGAGAGCATCTCTTACTATTGGGTGTACTGATTGGATTGGTAGACAGTATAATTCAGCAGCATCTTTGGGATACACAGGTTTACCCTTCTGTTTTAAATGATAGAGCAATTCTCTTTATATTCCCAACGCCTCTCATAAAGTGGCCTAACATAAAAGTTAACTGCCGTAAGATACTTCCATGGGCATGGATTGGATACCATGATCCTGGTTCCTGAAAATTAAATTGAGCAATATTGACAAAGGATGCCTGAAATCACATAAAATACCAACTTCTCACAGCATTTGCGAGCGAGACCTTCTTTTTTGTTTTTAAATTCATCTGCCCAGTGCCTGAAAAGGTTGCTGATGCCTGGCCAATTACCTCCTGCCCTTTTAGTAGTTTGGTGTGGGATTATTTTACCACAGATGATTTTGAAGCCAAGAGTTGAATGGAAGCCATGGAAGGAGAGGCATAGAATGAAAAACAAACCTATCCTATTGGTTTGCAGTTTATCTGTAGGGAGGTCACAAAAAGTGAAGATGGCAGGCTCAATGATGTAAGTGAAGCCCCAACTCCTTATGCATTGGAGTTGATGCAGCAGCTGTTGCCGCTTTGATTTTTGGGGTATTCCACTCCAGCCACCTGCTTATCTAACCTGGTTCACTGATAGGATACCGCTGGATTGCTAGCTAAGATTGGAATGGAACAATTTGCTGTAGCAAATTCACTGCAGAACAACTCACCACGGCCAACTTGCCATGGGACAGTTTGATGAGGAACAATTCTATTTCATTATTTAAAATAAATAAAAATTATTTTATTTTTTTCAAGTCACATTTCATTCTGTCCCTCCTTTTTGCATTCTTTCTTTAATTATTCTATTCCACTATTGCTTTGATATTAGTGTAACTCTTGTCTAAAAAGAGCCGAGGTGGCGCAGTGGTTAGAGTGCAGCACTGCAGGCTACTTCAGCTGACTGTTAGCTGCAGTTCGGCGGTTCTAATCTCACCGGTTCAAGGTTGACTCAGCCTTCCATCCTTCCGAGGTGGGTAAAATGAGGACCCAGATTGTTGGGGGCGATATGCTGACTCTGTAAACCGCTTAGAGAGGGCTGAAAGCCCTATGAAGCGGTATATAAGTCTAACTGCTATTGCTATTGCTATTGCTATTCAGCTGGTCAGTTCTAGAAGAGATCAACCCAGATAGATGATAGAGAGATAGATAGATAGATAGATAT